TGTAATACAATACGTCGTGCTATAACGGTGCAGCAAAAACATAAAAGAACGCAGAAAAGCAAAAAGATGTTGAAGGAAAGCTGAGCACTTGCGAAAGCGAAGCAAAGACTTGCGAACAAGAACGAAAACTATTGTGCAAATATGTGAACAAATCAATTTGTTTTGCCGCCGGTCCTGCATCGGGGAGTGTGTTATACACACACATACACAGATCTGTATATAGGTTGTTCGTTAAGCGGATGGATGAAAAGTGGTGTGCACACAAAATTATGGGTTGTTTGCGTTATTTGGTAGCAATTTGGTGCATTTGATTTCGAATTCTGCACTTTTTTGAGCTTTCTAATCGGAAGCTTACTCGCATCCTTCTGCTCGTGTGTTTGTGTGCTTTGTTTGCATTGACGCTCTTGCGTATGTGTTTAACGTACTCATTCCGCATACGATTACTGGTAATAAAATAGTTAATGAGGGATGAAATGAAACGCAAAGCTCGGTGGGGAAGTTGACAAATTATGGGCAATGAATTTATATGTGTCTGTTGACAGTAACTAAGTAGAAAATGAATGCCGCTCGGCTAAGAAAATGCGGGAAGAAATTGTTTATTAACTCAGCCATCAACTGAAACGGCTTATTTATCATGGATGAAGAAATGTGCGAGTTGCTCTGCATGGAATTATATTCTGTGGGAGTTTTGAAAAAAAGAAAAATTTACAAATATTACACGATAAGTAGTCGTCTCGCTTGGTATTGAACGGCTCGGAGAGATACTTCCCGATCCTGACTGAGTTTTCGGCGTTGCTTAGTATTAGCTTTACGGGGATACAAAGTTCCTTTCCGTGCTGTCGAAGGCGGCTTTAAAACCGCCAAACAGGTGGTGTGTGTCGATCTTTCTTCCACGGGTCTTTTCAAAGATTTGGTGCAAAGTGAAAACCTGGTCGATTGTAGATTTTCCATGTTCATAGTCACACTGATAGGGTCCAATATGTACGTTGGCGCTGAGTCTTTCACACAATACTCTCAAGACCTTGTATGCGATTTTAAGGAGGCGCAGATTGAGGCGTAAATGGCGCATTTTGAGGGGACCCTGTTTTTGTGCATTGGAAAAAGCACACTTAAGTTCCAGTCGTAGGACATGTTTTCATCCGAACAGTAATCCATCTGCGGGTAATTGCTGTTTGAACCTCATCAAGGTCGGGCAATGGAACTTCTATTCTATCGTCATCGATTGTGAAATCGAGTTAGCCATCTCCTGATGTTACATTTTCGCACCCGTTTAGCAGCCTGTAGAAATGTTTTCTCCAAAAGCTCAGTATTCTCTGATCATTAGCCACTTTGAGTCCTACTGGTGTATGCTCCGGTCTTGAGCCCTTCCGTCAGTCATCGCTTCTTTAGCATTACCCCTGTCGCCCAGTTTCTCAAGCTCTTCATACTCTCTATAATTATCTAGTAAAGGATATTATTGCGTCTATAACTATGTTCCTGCGGAGGCTCAACATCACAACCAAAATACGTTTTTTTAAAATGCTATGATTGCTCAGTGCTTTTCTATGCGATGGAAACGTGGACTCTAAAAATCACAGATATAAACAAGCTAGAGTCCTTCGAGCTATGGCTAATTAGAAGAATTCTAAAAATCCCATGGACGTACTTATTACGAGGCACTCTAAGTATTAGTAATTCAAAGAAAAATTGAAGGAAAAGAGGATATTGGCCGTAAACAAATTTCGTGATTTCGAAACATTCGACAAGAATCCAAAACGTTGGTAACCTTATAGATGTGTCGAGAGATAGAGAGTAATATGCTGATATAATTAAAATCTGCGATTTTTTTTTATTATTTTTTAAAAATACAATAGATATATTTAACAAGTAAACCTTACATTGCACATATTATTAAATGTTATATGATCACCAATATTCGAATACGAATTGGCAAATAAAGAAGAGGAATAACTAGATACCAACACCAGGAAATACATCAAGCTACCTGGCTGTCTGTGATGGCTGTAATGGACGGAAGACACGTCTCCAGTGTTCTAAACGTGCGTACTCTCTGAGGTCCTAACATCGACTCGGACTACTATCTTGTTGCAGCCAAGATTTGCACCCGCCTCTGTGCAACAAAAAAGAACGTCAACAGACACAAGGAAGGTTCGACGTCGAGAAGCTGGAATCACAACAGACAGGCGAACGATTTTCTACTCGGCTTGCGCACGAGCGGAGTAAACAGGCTTTCTACCTCTCAATGCGATAGATACAGAGAGTTGAAGAGGGAAGTGAGACGCATTTGCCGAGAGAAGAAGAAAGAGGTCGAAATGCGTGATATATAAGAGCTTGATAAGCTGGCCGACAGGGGTAATGCTCGAAAATTTTACGAAAAATGCGGCGGCTTACAGAAGGTTTAGAACCGCCAAAGGTGAGCTAGTCACCGATGCCCAGAGCATACTTAAAGTATGGAGGGAACACTTCTCCAGCCTGCTGAATGGCAGTGAACACACAGCGCCAGGAGAAGGCGAATCCGATTCCCCAATCGATGACGATGGAGCAGACGTTCCATTGCCCGACCAGGAAGAAGTTCGAATAGCAATTACCCGCCTGAAGAACAACAAAGCGGCGGGGGCCGATGGATTGCCGGCGGAGGTATTCAAACACGGCGGCGAAGATCTGATAACGAACGAAAGCATGCCCAACGATTGGAGCTTAAGTGTGCTATGCCCAATCCTCAAAAAAGGAGACCCCACAATCTGCGCCAACTACCGTGGAATAAGCCTCCTCAATATCGCATATAAGGTTCTATCGAGAGTGAAAGATTAAAGCCCACCCTCAACAAACTGATTGGACTTTATCAGTGTGGCTTTAGACCTGGCAAATCAACCGAGCAGATATTCACCATGCGCCAAATCTTGGAAAAGACCCGTGAAAGGAGAATCGACACACACCACCTCTTCGTCGATTTCAAAGCTGCTTTTGACAACACGAAAAACTAGTACGGCTATGTAAACTGACGTTGAGCAACACCAGGATGGGGAGGGACCTCGATACCGTTCGATAACGAGGTTTCGAAAAGACGACTCCCTATCATGCGACTTCTTCAACCTGCAGGTACAATCTTTTATAAGAGTGTACAGCTACTGGCGTATGCTAATGATATTGATATCATCGGTCTCAACACTCGCGCCGTTAGTTCTGCTTTCTCCAGACTGGACAAGAAAGTAAAGCAAATGGGTCTGGTGTGAACGAGGGCAAGACGAAATATCTTATGTCATCTGTCACTCACGTCACTGTTGACAGTCATAGCTTTGAAGCTGTAGATAGTTTCGTATATTTGGGAACCAGCATAAACACCACCAACAATGTCAGCCTGGAAATCCAATGCAGGATAACTCTTGCCAACAGATGCTACTTCGGACTAAGTAGTAAAGCACTCTCTCGACAAGCCAAATTGATTATAATTCCCGTCCTGCTATTGCACGATGACAAAAAGTTATGAGTCGATGTTGCAAGTTTTCGAGAGAAAAGTTCTGCGAAAGATTTATGGTACGAATATCGCATTCGATTGAACGATGAGCTGGATGAGATATGACATTGACGTAGTTCAGCGAATTAAAAGACAGTGGCTACGCTGGGGAGGTCATTCTGTCCGAGTGGACGAAAACACTCCAGCTCTTAAAGTGTTCGATGCTGTACCCGCCGGCGGAAGCAGAGGAAAAGGAAGACCTCCACTCCGTTGGAAAGATCAGGTGGAGAAGGAATATCCCATTGGCGGAGCGTAAAGAAGAAACGACTGGCTCGCTGTTGTTAACTTGGCTATAATCGCGGAAGCGGTGTCTACGCCAGTAAAGAAGAAGACGAAGTGCTCAGTATATGGTGGAATTTAACGAGAGTCCAGTCGTATGAATTTCTAGAACCAAGTGAAATCATTTATAACAGGTGTTCCCAATATTTTCTTGGTCAAGAACTATTTAGTTACTATTCTTGTTAGCAGGGACCACAATGTAGGTATAATAAAATCTAACTGTAATTAATTAAGAACTCATAAAAAGAAATACTTTTAGGATAATCTTGCTTTAATATTATTTTGGCTGTTCTAGAAATGATATTGTTCCTTAAAGCTATATGCAAAGCAACACTAACTTTCGAACCATTCCTGGCCTTGTTTTTAATTGTCAATAACGAAACAAATAGCGTAAAGCGATTTCTCGAAGTTGAGTATAAGAAATTGCTTTTTTAGCATTCTTGCAGTTTATGTAATTTTGTAATTCAATAAGTTCTTCATGTATTTTTTCAGTAACAATACAAGCATCCTTGCTAAAGAGGTTACGAATCAGTTGATGAACTTTAGCTTCTTTGGTATTCTCTGGGAAGAAATAATTGAATGCTTCAATCAACGAATGGACTCTCCACGGAGTGTACACTCAACTATGACTGCTATATTTTCTTCAATGCGTGCTAGACCTGGTCTCTTCGGTCGAATATAATCTACTAATGAATGCTGGATCTCAAAATGGTTAAAGGCATTGCATATAGTAGCCGATTATGTAGGCCGATTATGTTGACCATAAGTTACTTATTCTTTACAGAAAGTGAGATTTCGTAAAAGGTTGAATTACTCCTTGAAATTGTTCAGGTGTAAGTGATGAAATTGTAAGTACTGATCAAAATAATATGACCGCTTAACACGACTCTCGCGAAATCTGTCGAAAATAGCTACTGAAGAAACTACCTTAATTTGAAGAATCACTCTTTAAATGTAATTGCAATTACTCAGCAGAAAAGCGTATAAATTTATAAGGTGGCGATAAAAGCGTACAAACGAACACGGGAAAGAACCCACTGGCTTTGATCGATCAAAATATATCAATATTAATATCATAGATACGATATGTGGAGAAAAATTCCCCACTTTTAGTCATTGATAGTGCAAACGTATCTAAATAAAAGCTTATCACGCTTGACAATTGCCACCACGCGCTCCGATATAAACAATATATAAACAGTGCACTGCACTGATGAGACTTTCGATGAACGGACTTGGTCGAGAAAAGAGGTGAAACAAAAATTACAGCTATTCAGTATGAATTTCAAAACTAGTTACGATAGTGACGCCCGTATATGGAAAAGTGAAAGTGTGGAGCAGCTTTTTAACATAAACAAATCCATTGGCGCAATTGCCTTGTATATGCTTCGGAGCAAGCCACGGAATGCCGTTTGCCAGATCTCCGATTCGGAGGGAACCGAGCTCACCTATGGCACAGCTTGTTCGTATGCCATAAGTGTGGCGTCATATCTGAAGGGACTTGGACTAGATTGTGACGATGTTGTGGGTATTGTCGGTCAGAATACGACGTTGCTAATGCCGGTACTTGTCGGTTGTTGGATAAATGGTACACCTTATAATACCTTGCATCCGATACATGAAGAAGGCATGTTCCATATACCACACATATGTATATGAGAGAACTTTTCATTATCGTTTGATTTTCAGATGATATTAGACTGTTATTTGCTCTGACGAAGCCAAAGATCATTTTTTGTGATGGTGAGGTGTTCTATAAGGTACAAAATGCTACCAACTTGTTGAATGTGCCCATTTATACTTTGTGTAATCATTTGGAAGGCGTGCCAAGGATTCAAGATATATTGAAACCAGTGCCAATGGCAGAATTATATCAGTGAGAAACTTATATTTTAATTATATTTAAAAGAGATTTGATTTACTATTTTCTTATAGAGCTGCTCCTCTCAAATACGGGGCCAATCAAACCATGGCCATCATACCATCATCAGGTACAACAGGGAAACCGAAGGCTGTTTGCAGGTCAAATTGTAAATTATTGTCTGAAATTGGGTAAGAAGAATAAGAGGCGTATAACTATTTAGTTTGCGTAGGAATATTGCTCTAACACTGGGGAGAGCTCACGGATATGAAAGCAGTTTTTGATTTTGTTGCCTTTTATGGAAAGCCAAAGTTTGCTAAAAAATGGGCGGGAAACGGAGGGCACCCAACTTGATGTTCATTATTGTCAAAGGCAACGGTACAATCTTCGAACAAATTTTTTAGATCAGATTTATTGCACATAGCTGACATACAAACTGAACATTTCATCCAAAATAAACTTTTTTTCTTGTCTTCTCGTCTAATAAGATTCGTTTATGCTTTAGACAGAACCAACATTTTTTTCGGGAGAGTGCTAATGCCATCTATATTCAGCTTCAAATTAATTCCGTTAGATTTAGCGGAATTTCTTACCTTATACGAGTAAAATACATATAATTTGCGAAAGTTAGGTGTTTAAGAGCAAAAAAATTGAGAGTCTAGGGTAAATATAGGAGATCTTAGGCATAACGATCATATATCATATATTAGGTTTTAGAAAAATTACTCAAAATCTAAATCGTTTTTCCACCACAAATCAAGCACTTTCTCTTCTAGCCATACCGATGGTTCGTCGATTTTATTTTCGTTTTCATCACCCGATTGGGGCACCGGCATTTTGTTGATAGTCGCGAATGTGCTGTGTGGCGGCACACGTATCATCACTACAAAACCTTATACCCCTGAGTATCTTCTGGAAATCATCACGAAATACAAAGTAACAAATTTAACCGGTTCGCCTCATCAATTTGGAGATCTTGCACAGTTGCCGGGTTACACTGCGGAGGCAATGTCCAGCGTGCGTGTCATTGTAATGGGAGGTTGTCATGCTCTACCTTCTGTTCAGTCTAATATAAGAGCCAAATTGACACACGGAGTGTTAGTGAACTCATACGGAACCTCAGAGATTGGTGGCATTTCATTGAATTATAGAGATTATAAAGTCGACACTGTTGGCCGTTTATGGGGTGGTGCACAGTTGAAGATAAAAGAGCGAGTGGATGGTGATATTCAGAAATTAATGGGTCCCAATGAAAAGGGTGAAATTTGGGTGTACACCCCTACAAGTTGGTTGGGTTATTATAATAATCCAGAGGCCACCGCTGATATTATGGATGCTGATGGTTGGATCAACACCGGTGATGTCGGGTACGTGGACGATGAGGGGTTTCTACATTTAGTTGATCGCAGCAAGGATATTTTAAAATATATGGGCTTTCATTACTCTCCACATGAGATTGAAGAGACTATAGTTTCTTTGCCAGATGTTCTAGATGCTTGTGTGTTTGGAGTCTACGACGACAAAGACGGGGACTTAGCTGGCGCTGCTGTAGTGCTAAAGCCTGATAGTACACTTACCGAGTCGGATATTATGAGTTTTTTGACAGAGAAACTGGTGGTGAAGTACAAACAGCCCAATTATGGAGTCTTTTTCGTGGATACGATTGCACGAAATTCTAACGGTAAACTGCTGCGAGCAAAGATGAGAGAAATTTGCTTAAAAATTGAAAAAGAAACAGGCTCAAAGGTTTTGCAACGTTGATATAAAAATAATGTATTTCTAAAAAAATAAATAAGGGCATATTTATTCATTAGTAATAAGTAAGCGCTCGGGTTTAACCTAACTTTTATGCTCTTCTAATTTGCAAGGATCAATGCCGGAATTAATTATATAGGATATATATGTACAATAGGGACAGAGATATGGAATGGCTAGTTGCATTGATTTTTGATATTGTTACGGTATACTTGGATAGTGGGATGTGAGCCGTTCAAAATCCTGAATATCAGTTGTGAGTTGGTTAAGGCAAGTTTTCGTCCAAGTTTAACAAATTTAGGCGCAAATCTACAATGGTATTAGAAAAATAGACACTCTTAATTATCCGATTTATGCAGTTTAAAGTCAACTGGAAGTTTGAAAAACTTTATATTTGGTGGTGGTTTTCAATTAGGCAATATTTTTTTCGAAGTTGGTCTTTTTGACAGCATTATACTTATACATTTATACTTAGTTTAGTCCAATAATCGGTCGATATAACCGCCTAGCAGATTTTTGGATGCCCTATGACAGAGAGAATCTGCCCTTATTGTCACAGATTTCCAGTGAGAAATCCAGATTAATCTTAGGAACTTAGATGTAGCCATTTACTGCCCCAATGATTTGGATCGGAAAAAGGGTCATGTAAGTTATTATTTTTGTACGATAAAAGAAAAACTCGCATGAAATGTTTTGTGAACGTTTTCAAACATTTAAATCGGAAAATTACAAAGAATTGACAAATGATATTAGAATGCCATATGAAGTTTTGTGGTTTAAAACTTTCCTTTAAATACATATGCTTGACTGGAACAAGGCGAGTCGACCTACTTTCAGAGAAATGAAACGCTGTAATGCCATCATATTATTGTTGGAGACTTAAAAGTTACCTTTTAGAAGCGAAATGTTAATGAAAAACATAAGTATTTTTTATAAATAAAGCAAACATTTCTTTAAATGTGGTTAAAATTTGTACTTAAAGAATATATATATATATATATATATATATATATATTGTTCCAAGAAAATCTGATGTGCCAATTCATTCACCCATTAATGTTTGGTGGCCTTAGGACATTCAAGAATTGATAATTGAATTTTCATGCGACAAAAAAAATATAGTTTTGTTAACCAGTGTTATATGTATATATTTCAGGTATCTAAGTGTTCTTTGCTCTATATAGTCTATAAGTCTGATCGAATACGTGGATTTTGGGAATGCTTGAAATACCGATTACTTGAAGAACAGCTAAGCTTAAATTGATTATTTTGTCTGATTGCCTAAAGCAGCTGAAAGTAAAGAATAAAACCAAAAACATTCGCACTTCGCCAACTACATTATGTGCTTCGAGCACCAATGTTACCAGATCTTAAAATATAATACTATGAAAAACCGCAATGAAATGGAGTAGATATTACTTTATCTGCTCATCTTCACGCTTGGCACATTGCCAGCCATTTGCGGCGGCAAGTGACAGATTGCAACCACTTGATGCTGCCGCCACTTGGCGCACGGCGTCTGCCTCATATGTAATCATTACTTTGGCAATGTGCGGTCTGTGCTACCTGATACTGGCGCCACACACACATGCACACATACATAAGTGCCATCTGGGTTTGACGTTTGTGTGAGTGAATATTTCGCAACTTCAGCGTCGTGATAAATGCAGTCATCGTAGAATTGTTAAAAAATATCACTCACACAATGCATTTAAAGTAATTAAGTGCCGTTGCTATTGCCAGCGCCCGAAAAAGGAACCCAGCCTGGAATTCAGACGTGATGTTACTAGGTACTTCGCCCACTGTCAAACTACTGCCTCTGCCTCTGTGCTCTCTGTGTACTGTCATCTCTGCGGGCGTTACGTCGCCGGGTGGATAATTGCGCAAAATCGCGTTGTTGCGTTGGCAACCCTGACACAATAATCATGTGATGCACCAGTTGTTGTTGTCACTAGTGTTGGCATTTTACAAAAACACAACTATGCAGTCAATTCAATTGTTGTTTTGCCTTCAATTGCCGCCTTACAGGTGTGGAAGCGTGTGACGAAAGCGACGTGGCGGTTGGCAGATCGGGCGTTGGGGGTTGGGGGGTGCCGAGCCTCGAATTACTGGCAGTTTTTACGCTTCGGTGCGTGAAATTAATTAAAAGATTTCTGATTTTCATACTTTTTCATTTGCGCGTGCGTCTGAAAGCAAAAATATGGCAGTAATTAATTCGATTGCAAGAATAGCTTATCAGGACGGAAGTTGAGTAGTTACTTACATATGTACGTGTGTATAATTGCCAATATATACAGACTTAAATCGTTTTTGGTATGAATGAAGAAATGACAGATCTTGTACAAGTGCCAGTAATACTGAATTTTGGATAAAATTTTAATAAATAAAAATAATTTTAATTTGAAGTAAAATTATTACTAGGAAACTGAGTGATGGCACATTTTTTTAATCGAGAAGGTACAATCTATAAGAGTGCACAGCTCTTGGGTACGCCGATGATAACGATATCATTCGCCTCAACATCCGTGTTCTACTTTCTCCAGTCTGGATATCGAAGCGAAGCAATTTGGTTTGGTAGTAAACGATGCCAAGACGAAATATCTCCTCCATAAAACAAACAGTCGTCGCACTCGCGACTTAGCGTCACAGTTTACAGTCATAACTTCGAAGATGAAGATAGTTTCATCGACGCTATCTTGGAAACAGTATTAACACCAACAACAATGACAGCCTCCAAATCCAACGCAGCATACCTCTTGTCAACAGATGCTACTTCGGACTGAGTTGGCGATTGAGTAGTAAAGTTCTCTCTTGAGGAACAAAGTCCAAACTTGTATTAGCCACTCGCTATTCCTGTCCGACCATATGGTGCAGAGGAATGTACGATGACAACATCTGATGCATTGACGTTGCGAGTTTTCGAAAGAAAGGTTCTGCGGATTGCACATTGGCAGTGACGAATTTCGCATTCGATGGAACGACGAGCTGTATGAGGTATACGACGACATTGACATAGTTAAGCGAATTAAAAGACAGCGGCTACGCTTGCCCATGCCCGAATGGATGAAAAGACTCCAGCTCTGAAACGGCGCCATACCCGCCGAGGCAGGCAGAGGAAGAGAAAGACCTCTAAAGTCAGGCGGGGAAGCACCTGGCTAAATTTAGAATCTCCAATTGATACCAAACAGCAAGAAGATGAACGACAGTTATTTCTCAAATTTGCCGGGAGTGTTGGTCGTGGAGTACACTGTCGAGAACTATCCAAAAGCTAGACACTTACAACTAGAGCAACGCTTAGCTTCTAAGGGTGAAGAGCTCACTGGACCGCTTGTAATTTACCTAAGGCGAGAAACACATTACGCCATCAAAAATGATAAATATTTAGCAGGTTCGCGTAAGGAAAAGCCATTTAACCGCAAAACACAAGAAGAAATCTGGGTTCCGATCTCCGCATTTTCTCATTCTGCTAATGGTGACTTTATAGTTCTAGTACTAGACTAGTTCTCTGCTAAAGTCGAAAATCCTTAATGAGCTGAAAACTATTCAAATTTATGTTCACTTATGTGAGGAAATTTCACTATTGAGTACATCTTCTGCTACCTTAATTGGAGCCATCACTGCTTTAACAACGTTGTCGGGAAGCTTGAAACTGGAGTTGATGGACAGCTCCCGACAACGGACACCTTCACCAGCCTTCCTCGCAGAACTTCCACCCAACCTATATCACTGCGACGTGGTGGTGAATATTCTGAAATTTACATAGGTGGCTGTTTGGGAGGGAGTTATGTGACAGATGATGATGTAAGGGCCGTTTGGAATTCCAAACTATGGAAGTGAAATTCTCAGTTTTACCTGAAAAATGGAATATGCAATAATTTATGTGGTTCATTAAGTTTCATTCATTCATGATTATTCTTGATGCCTTATCGCTGAATACATATGTACATAGAGGCCGTGGAAATGTTAGCAAGTAACTGTTATCAGTTTGATTGAGAACATGAACAAAGAAAAATATTTGTACACCTTGTGAGCAAAACTGCTTGGGGCGAAAGCAGTGTGTATTAAAATGCTGAATCATTCAGATAATGTTAGAAGAGTGAGTCTTATCAGAAAACATACATATGTACAACAACGCTCATTAGTTGCAACAGCAACACCATAAAGATAACAAGTAAGGAAGGACTGAGTTCGGTTGTATTCGGTTATTTCATAATCTGGCAACTTTCAAGCTTCAAAGCTGCGGAAGAACCACATAATAAAAACATTAAATCTTAGCTCATTTTCGAATTCGTCGCCACTTTTTTTAGCCAAGAGACACATATAGTATATCGAGTTCTGTTACGGAGGTACGGAGGACGGATGGGCGTATGGATAGACAGACCTGCGGATTTTAACGTGTTTCGTCTTCCTGATCTTTTATTTATATTATATATAATCGAATATCTATCTCAATTAGTCTTAGGTGATACAAACAACCGTTAGTTGAATAAAATTATCATACTCTGTAGCAACATGTTACATATCACAACATTGAAGCGATAACTAAAACCTTTATTTGCCTACTAGTATTACTCGAATAAAACGTCATTAACTAGTATTAGGATGGCTCGTATGTTAATAAAGAGTACAGTAATTTTCTGGGCTTTACCGTTCGCGCGGCTGTCGTACTGGAATCAGCTGTTTATAATTTTGCTGAATGACAGTTCGAAGTATTGTTCACAAGTGTACAAAAGCGTTTTGCCAAAAGTGATCAACGATGGAATTCAAACCTGATAGTGTGATTGCTTTATATTTAGCTGGAAAATCACAGCCAGCAATTGTTCGTGAGCTCAAACACCTTAATGTGCATAAAGTTTTTGTGTTTATCCTCATCGCATCCTCACTCGTTACAATGATACGGGTAGCATCGCAAAACGCCATTGAGGTGGTCATCAAAAGACTCCAACGTCACGTGAGATGGTTCGGAAAGTGAAGAAGCGACTTGAGCGAAATCCACTGCGAAGTGCCAGTCAGATGGCTACAGAACTGAAAATATCCGATCGCAGCGTCCGACGCATATTGAAAAATGAGCTTAAGGTCAAGCGTTAC